GGACTCATCTGATCTCTGCTGTAAGGACAGCACCCCAAAAAGCCCTTTTTATGGCTAAAACATCAGTTTGCTTTTTTTTTCTGTGTAATGTAATTGCAGTTGCCTGTCTGCCAGCTTCTGTGTCAGGCTCACAGTGGATACTGTGCCCAGTGCCACCACTCACTCACTGGTGTCACAATAGCTTGCATTTAAAAAAAATATTTTTTTTTTCACTATAATAGATTGAATAGCAGTTAGTTGTCTGTCAGTGTTGTGGTCGTGACCTAAATATGAATATTAATCTCTTAATACATAATAATTAAGCAATACGGAACAACATTAATATTTTTATAATTCATGGTATTATGGTCGAATATGTGGATAGAAAATACACAAAAGTTGTAATATTAAATGTATATTTAATATAACTATAACAAATAAACAGATGCTAGCAGAATGTCAATTTACTACAATTATGATACAATACAAAACTACAACATATTACTTACAAAAGGTTGCTAAATGTTACACAAAAGGCTATTACAATTGCTAAATGTTCATTTTACTTACAAGGCCCCAGCCCTTTGGCTGGGGTTAAGTCAGAGCTGGTACTACATCTCAGGTTCAGTCAGTTACAGGCAAAGGGACCTTGCTTCTCCTAACATCTGGTTTTTATTCAGTGTAAGTAGGCTGGCCTGTGATGTCACTGCCAGAAGCACAGGTCTTCCTACACACTCCCCCTAGTGGTGCCCCAAAGCATTACACTAAATATGCTTTACTGACATCTAGTGGTGCGTCTAAAGCATTAAGCTCATTATGCTTTTTTTTATGACAAAAAGTCATTAATTAATAAATACCATTACAAACCACCCTTTGACTTATGTCATAAAACAAACATTATAAACCCTTACATCTTGAATCTACCCTATTTTAACAGTAGCTGCCCTACAACAAAACCCACCTTTTGAAGAATGATACCCATTTACCCGTAAAGTTATGACACTTTATTGCTTATTCAATTTTTTTTTATTTTTTTTTCATTGAGCACATGCACCACCAGTTGGGAAACCTTGGCCTAAAATAAGCACATACCCACCCTTATAATAACCACTGAGCACATGCATTAGCAGTTGGGAAACCTTGGCCTTAAATAGGCAAATACCCACCCTTGTAATAATAGACAACTCAAACCATGTTTTATTAGATTAACCAATGATATTGTGTTCATGTGAGGATGTGTTTTGGAGCTTAATATAGTATTAGACACCACAAACTCATAACACCTATGAATCATGGCACAGAACGACTCGATTTCTGTAGCCTCTGGCTGGTCTATGTGCCTGGAATTTTCACAAACATTAGTCCTGGAAACTGGATACTCTATTCTTCGACAGTCTCATAGAACATACGCATGGAGACAGGGATGAATGAAACAGTTCATGTGATCAAGGACTTTTGTGTGTTTGTTGCCCCCTTTTTTTTTTCTTTATTCCATTAACCACCTTGACGTAACAGTTTCCTGCTCCTGATGCATTTTGTTCCGACTCTCACCACTCTTAGCTGCAATATTTTTTCTCCTTACAGCAACAGTTGAGCATAGTGTCCAGTGCTTCTTCTTCTTCTGCTTAAAATATCCTTGCTTGAAAGTTCTTGAATGAAAAGACAGGCAATGACGAACACAAACATAAATAATAACTGTGCCAATCATCACAAGTACCATTTGATTGTGGTGTCTTAACGCCATATTTCCTATGGCGTTTGGATAAATACCTACACACCTCTCTTCACATCCAGCACACTCCTGATTCACAGATAAACACAATATCACTGCTTCAAATGCTTCTTCTTCTTCTTCTTGTGTATGAAGATGAATACTTAAAATAGAGCACAGAAGAAAAACATAGTGTATAACTGTATGGTATTAGAAAATTTGCTTTATTGGATACACTTACAAGATAAAAGAAGTAAAAGGGCTCATCAATTTGAATCACATCCACTGTCTGCTATCCCAAATAAATACAACGCCAGAGGAAGAGGACAAAGTGAATACAAAGAGTCGAAACGCGTAGGGTGGCAAGCTTTATTTTTACAATTCAATATTTTTTATTCTGGACTCTTTGTATTCACTTTGTCCTCTTCCTCTGGCGTTGTATTTATTTGGGATGGCAGACAGTGGATGTGATTCAAATTGATGAGCCCTTTTACTTCTTTTATCTTGTAAGTGTATCCAATAAAGCAAATTTTCTAATACCATACAGTTATACACTATGTTTTTCTTCTGTGCTCTATTTTAAGTATTCATCTTCATACACAAGAAGAAGAAGAAGAAGAAGCATTTGAAGAAATTTGGCTATACCCTGCCTTTTTACTTCTATGTTTGTTGTGCATTTTATGGTTTTATGTGTAATATATTGAAGACATTGAGGAGTCTTCGCACTTCCTATTGTTGGGTATTTATATAATATTTATATTTATATTTTACCTTTTTTAGCCACACAGGGTTTTTTTGCATATCTTGTGCAAATCACTTTTTGTTTTATAACAATATCACTGCTGTATCTACCAATTTAACCCAAACACTCGTTATTACTGCTGCATTTACCAATTTAATCTAAACACTCGTTATCACTGCTGTATTTAACCAATTTAATCTAAACATTAACCAAAACAATTACATTCCTATTTACCACCCTTCTATTTAAACATGTATAGATAACCCAAAATGCCTACTTTCTCTTATCCCTCTTATCATTCTTCCGTTTTTTGATTTTTTTTTTAACTGCAACCACTCATGCACTTTACACAGACACAAATCAAGCACCTACTGGACAATGAGGTTCCCTCGTTAGAGCCCTCCCACCCCAGTTTGGTTTACACAAAAATACCCCCTGGTCCCTGTGACAGAACCATCTGTCTGCTGGATTTTTGCCCGTTCGTCTGTTTGTCCCCGTTCGTATGAATGGCTGGTTTCTATAGCCCAGCCATTCGAATGACTCTTTTTTCCCGAACAAATCTGCCGAACGAACGGCCACCCAAGTGAGGAGTGTGCTGCAGGTTAACGAAGTGATCACCATTAGAACGTTGTGGTTAACCGCAGACACTTCTCAATTAAACCGAACTCAGGGTGGTCGTCGTTCGTATGTCGACCACGAGGCAGCGGCCATTTTAAATCATGCGAACGCTCAGCGGTGTTTGGCTCTATTTCTATGGAACGGAAAACGGACACTTTTTCTGTCGAACACCGCTGAAACAAGGGAACGCCTGGCTGCCTCCACGAAAGCATGCGAACACCGGCTGTTCGGGAGATTGAGAGCATACGAAAGACTTAACCCAGATAGCCCTCCCATGGAGTCATTCGTATACCGAAAGACTGTAAGAACTTTGACTCCATGGCGATTGAACTATGTGTGTGGGATCTGAGCGCTATTCGCCAATAATATGCACTCAGATCCAGGCTATCTGGGGACATGTAATACGAATGGGAAATGTTCAGTTTTCATGTAGTTATGCATTTTTATGTCTTTTATTATTTTCTGTTTAAAATGGCGACTGTCCTTGTCCTGGAGTTAATTGAGTTACTTGGTAATTAACTCCAGGACAGAGGGGAGGGAATCAGAATGCACTGTGGGTAAGATATGTGACTGTGTGTCAGAAATGTCCTTCTATCTGTCTGTACTTTAAGTCTTCCATTTGGTCCCCTAGGGGAGTGTCCACCAGGTGGGAGACCTGCATAAATACGGGCAGGTAGCCCACAGTAAAACCAGATCTTATTTGACCCTCAATGCGGAGCTTCTGTCTCGTTATTGGGGGGATTTCTTCTTCACGGTTAGAGACTGCTGGATGGAACGAAAGCCGCTTTGGGGATATTATTGTTCGACGGTTCCTAGCAGTTCGTATATTGCCGTTCGGGAGTTTGGAGCCGTTCGTGGATTTCGATCGGGAGATTGCCGCTTCCCCTGCATTTGGTTCGTGGGTTACAGAGTAAGCGAACAGAGACTGTTCTGCAGCCGGGGAAGGTTTACTAAACGGCGGTTTGGCTTAAAGACACGGGAGGTGTCTTAACAGTCCCTATGGGTCAATTCCCCCCTTTCCCAGGCAAGCATACATACATACATACAACAATAATACATAAGGGTTTCAATTGCAATACAATCACTAGAAATAAGAGAATAGTATGCACAAAATCATAGCATAGACATGTTAAATAGACAATAAAATAAAACACTCAATAGCTCATCAAAGGTCAACATTTAAACACTGGTCTCCATCTGATATTCTATCTGTGTTCCAATGTCCACCTCTGGTTTCTGCTACATCTGAAAAGGTTAGGAAACAGATCAGGATTACTTTCCTAGTCACTTATAGCTTATACTGCAAATATTTTACTTAGAATATATATATATATATATATATATATATATATATATATATATATATATATATACACACACACAGACATGTAAACACATTCCTTCAGCTTTTCATTTTATAAACAATTTGTTCAACAAGGTAACTTTCTTAATTTTCTACTTGGCTCTTAAAATAAACAATCAGCTAATAGCTGCTTTCTGCATCTTCCTTGCAATTCAGGAGTACACAACACTAAAAGTCCAATACTCAGTACCCCCTAGCCTAAATTCCCCACCCGCTACTGTAACTAAGTTTACAGCCCACGTTATGGCAGTTTACCCGCTAGGCAGATATGCTCAGTACCCCCTAGTTTAAGTTCCCCACCTGCTACTGTTACTAAGTTTACAGCCCACGTTATGGCAGTTCACCCGCTAGGCAGATATGCTCAGTACCCCCTAGCCTAAGTTCCCCACCCGCTACTGTAACTAAGTTTACAGCCCACGTTATGGCAGTTCACCTGCTAGGCAGATACACAATACACCCACGTATTACTTATTTTATATTTCCTGGTCTCTCAGGGATATACAATAGCTAATCCCCTTCCCAGGGCAATATAAAACTGACACAAACTTTTAAGCAATACAGGATTTCAAATGGACTTATGAGTAACAAATTTCTAGCCAACTTAAACATGCTTAATAACTTTCCACCCTTTGGTTAAATTATAGAGGAGTGAACCACAACACCTCTTCCGCCTCTGAAAGTTCAACACTTCTGACAGCTATGAGTGACTCCCTATTAATTTCTAGCCTTTCCACGGACATGCTTGCACCTCGCGGCTAAGGGCCTGCACAACTAACCACCCTGTGATGGCAGTGGCTTTCCGCATGGGGGTGACCGCACCCGCAAAATTATAGAGGAGCAAACATACAGCAGCCTCTTTTCCGGCTCGATTAAAGGTTCTGGGCCAATATGTCTGCAATTTAACCAGTACACTCACGTATCACTTATTGTATATTTCCTGGTCTCTCAGGAATTTCTATTAAATAGCGTATCCCCTTCCCAGGGCAAGATACAACAAAAACTAGTCACCAAGGGTCTCTATGGTCATGATAGGCCGCCCTACCACTAGTGTAATACGCCCTTTTTTTAAATATATTTCCTGGTCTCTCAGAGATTTTGCCTATCCCTTTCCCAGAGCAATATATATAAACAATTACAAATAAGTTACAAAACGCTACTTATAAGTAATACAGGGTTTCAAATAATAATACAGGATAGAACTGCACAACAACTATTGGGTATGCTCCCCCTTATCCGGACACGTTTAAATACCCCCTAGCTCAGGTTCCCCACCCGCCACTGTAACTAAAATCACAGCCCACGTTATGGAGGTTCACCCGCTAGGCAGATACACCCTAATTCAAAGCATGGAAATATTAAAATCAGTTATAGATGGCTTCTAAAATAATATAAATCTTTATCTGAGCCCCTACACTTACTTTGTTAAAAATGCTAACTTGTTAAAATATTCAGACTAAATAGGACAAAGGAATTATTTTACCATTTTTTCAGTTCATTTGTTACCAGTTCCTGCAAATGTCCAGTAATTCCTTAGTCCTGGATAATAAAGCTGAAAAACACTCCACAAATTGATTAGTTTAGGCAATTACATTTACAAAACAATGCAGTTTATTTTTTCTCATACAGGCAAGACTACCCACCCCCAACAAGGACAAATTCTCCCCCAACTGTAGCTGAAAAGCATGGTCACACAGCTGTTAAAGGTGGTCTCTCCTTCATGAGTCAAAATCATATATATATTTATACTAATATTCTGTG